CACCTTGAATTTAGCTTGAAAACCACAGCTACATAGCTACCCTGGGTGTCCAAACCTGGCAAGGTGCCAACTACACCTTTATTTTCAAGGTGGCCTGAACAGTGTTTTAGGGCAGCAAACCCTGGTCTCAGGCCACCTTGAATTTAGCTTGAAAGCCACAGCTTTGAAGCCTCATGCGCGCCATACCCGGGAACAGAACTGTAGCTACTTGTAGCTACCTCTTACACACCTATACAAGTTCAAAGCACGAATGAGACTTCAAAGCTGTGGATTGCTGTGCGTGTGTAGAGGTTCTCAAGCGGTTGACGGAAAGGCAACTTGAAGTACTATACCTGGTAGCTGCACTATGGCTACCCTAGGTCTCTATACCTTGCAAGGTGCCAACTACACCTTTCCATTCAGATGATGCAAATGATGCATTTGGCATTTCTTGCATCACCACCCTTCAAAAATCACCTCCAACACAACCTCAAAAAACCTTCCCTCGAAGCACTCTCCTCCCCCAGCATGTGCCGAGTTGACGTATACCTTTCTCGGGCCACCCCCCCAGACCCCCTAACTACTCACTTCGTTCGCCAGACACAACTCCGCTAGCGCCTTCTACGAAGGCTGGCTTTCGTAATTACATCCTTGAACACCCTTGAAATTTCCGTCAGCCTGTGCCATGTGCACCCTGAAAGTCTTCCGCCACTGAGGCCAAGAACGATCGGCGATCCTTCCAGAGGAACCTGCATTGTCATTGCCAGAAACGGGGAGAATCGATTATATCCTGCAAACTGGTGGAGCCACTGCAACTTCTTTGTCATTCAAGGCGTGTCTTTTTGTGTTGGATATGTTGGATTGTGGTCTGCCTTGGTGGGCGGTTTGGTTCAAAGGGCAACGGGAACCAGAGAAAGATCACAAACTGACACAAACTGTGCAGTGCAGCTCGACCACTTGTGGGTGCATCCTACTAGTATTGGGGAGTCGAATAGTTCATGGCTAATACTCCGGCATGTCGTTTCCGCCACCTGGAAGTTGGAGCTCTAACTACAAAAGTCTTTGGCGATGGGAAATATGTTCCCGGAAGCAGCATGTCACCCCACATGAATCAAGAATACAAGGAGTCCTAAACCTTCTTGTAAGTTGCCTCGATAGTTTGCAAAGGAGACACTGCAAACACTCCTCCCCAACCAAGTAGAAGCTTGCCAAATCGGGCTGTTGAAAAAGAAGGCTGCTGGCCACTAAACCTTGGCCTGGAAGGTTTAAGAGGATGCCACCATTGACTTGTTCTGGAATTGGCCTTGAATGGTGACAACATATCGATCAAACCCGACCTGATGAAGATGTGTTTCTCCAATCCCCGAGTCACCGACTTACTTCAATGAAACTGCCAATGTTGGCAGGTTTGTTGATAGTTGAAAACAAACATCAACCTTCAGCATTCCGAAAAAAAAAAAAAAAATATATATATATATATGTATATATATATATAGGGACACCAAAGCAAGTGTCACTTCAGCACTTCCTCTTCCCAGCTTCAGGATCCCGGCCTCCAGGACGCGTGTCGGTGGATGGAGGGCATGTGGGCCCTCATCTGTGGGCCCAGTGCCCATCAAATCCTCGGTGGGCACCGGTCTCCATGGGGAAATTCCACAAACCACTGGTCAGCCATGACATCTGTGTATATTCTTAAGTGTACAAGCCCACACACTCCCATCAAGTTCCATGGACACCTGAAAAACTCCTCCAATCGACGTCCCAACCCGACTTGTCGCTAGTAGGTTGGAAGGAGCAAGGACGCTACTAGGGGCGCTCCTGGCCTTACTACTATAGGAACAAGAAGCTACTATAGTGACAAAGGGCATCGCTCCTAGGAGCGACGCTCTTAGCTTGGAGGCCATCGCTAGTAGGTTTCAAGATCTCCGGGATTCTCGGGTCCACTTCGCTCGCCCCCCCCCGCCGTCGAGACACCGAAAGCTCGTCCACCAGCGTCAGCGCCTCCTCCCGCGTGACGTTGCCTCCCGACGTGGTCGACGGGGGACGGGTCAGTGTCGTTCGGCTCGGTGGCAACGAGGCGAAACAGGTGGAGTGGCTCAGGTTTTCTGATTGAAAAGGTCCGAGACATCTGCGAGAATCAAGCAGGAATGGGCATCCTAGAACTTCCTGGAAGGTGTCGGAAGGTGCTGAGACACCCACGTGATTTCTCACACCATCTGGGAGGAACTCCTTCCACCTTCCTTCCACCTCCAATCCGGACACCCGGTCGACCGTGCCCAGCACCGCGGGGATGGGCCTTGATAGAGAACTTCCAGCTGCAGCTGAGGGATGAACGCCTCGGACCGCCCGGCCGAGCACCGCCCACGGCCGGATCGACTCAGGTGGAAGCTGAGGGTCTAAGGTCTCAGTTCTGTTGTGCTCGCTCAACGGGGCCAAGCCATCAAGCCAGGATCGGTCTGTTTCAATGGGTAGCCTGATTAGATTGATACAAACAATAACCTTCCAGTTCAATCTATGATGTTGCAGGTGACATCCGGAAGCCAAGTCCTGGTGTTCAATGAAATCCCTTACAAATGTCATCCTGATGTCTCATCTGGCGTCCTCAGGTAATACTTGCCCAGATACCTCTCCACATAGGGCTATGAATCGAATTTGCTCTTCATTCGATCTTGACAACAGGCTCTCATCTTGGACATGGATGCGTTAGTCTCCATAAGGGATCCTAATGGATCGGGTGCCTCCCCCCAATCAATGGGTCAAAAAAAACAGTTGGCTGCCGCCTCCGCAAAGCGTTGCAACTCCTCGAGGCCCAAGTCCTGGGGTCTGATCTCTTCAGTCGAGGAGATTTAAAAAGAAAAGGTGAGACCGAGGCAGAAGCTTCTGCGCTCAAAACTCGTGGCTCTATTCAGATTCTGACTTGTGAAAGATTAAACCCTATGGGTCCAAAATTTGCTCGGAAAACTAAGTTCAAGAATCGCCCTGCTGTGTTGTGTTGCTTAGCAGTCAATAGTAGTCAAATCAGGGATATATACGTGGTACGCGTATCCCTCTGTGGCCGTAGCCGTAGCCGCCATAGCCATGTCATCGCAGAAATTCTAGATCATGATTCGTGCTTGCTTGTGGTTGGGTATTTTTCACAAAAAGCCATCGAGTCTCAAGCTGGGAGTTTCGGTGGATGGTAAACATGAACATGAGAACATGGACCCTCCCTGGTAATTGGAAAACAGCCATGCCCTGGAACTGTGTGAAGCCACCAACTTCCCCGGGAGTTGGTGATCTCCCATGGGCAGCGCTTGGGACCAGCGGCTTGCAGAGCAGCCGCTTTCGCCGTGCTCAACAGCTTCTCTGGCATCACCTGTAGGCCGCTGTAGGCAACACTGCCCATCACAAAGACTTCGACATGTGTGTGTGTGTGTGTGTTTCACATGCAAAAAAAACAGAGTATGTGTATATCTTCTGTGTGCTTTTTGGAGGTCACGCCTCATGTGTTGGCTTTCGTGAACCCTGAAGAAACCTTAGGAAGAGAGAAAGTGGACTATTTCCGGCTGGATTAGGGAGTCATGTTCAAACCATTCAAATCTCTTGCCCTCCTGGATCAAAGGAAGTTTCTTTGGCACCCCCCTATCCAACGCGGGTGTAGAGTCAATGTTAACAAAAGACCCCACCAGAAAGGTCGCGAAAAGGATCGCCACTGGGGCCCTTCATGATTCCTCATTTGGTTCTTGTGCTCTGAAAGCATTGAAGAATATTGAAGAACATTCTACAAGCCACTTCCTAAAACGTTATGTATGGTTTCTCTTGGATTTCCAATGCGTTTCCTGGGTTTTTATCCCATTCTGTAACAGTGGATGATGCTGGTTAGTAAAGGCCTTTCTCAAAAAGAGTGATGATCGACTCTTGCAGGCAATGGCACACAAAGTTGGTTGCGCTTCCTTCCACCACATCCATGTTCCGTATCTTCATCGGATGTTGAACCACAAAAGAATATGTACAGTATATATGTTATTTGTATAGTTTTGTATATAGTCCGTAGTCCGTCTCAAAACCTCTTTGACTGCCACCAAGGAGCCAGGGCTCGACGGAGGTCGGCACAGTGGTCTTCCGGCTTCAGGTACTCGTTCCTGGAGATCTGGGCATTCGAGCCCCAAAAGATTACAAGTTTGGGAGGTCTATTTCTCCCTATACAACAGGGACGCTTCTGGAGCCACTGGATTGACCATTGGCTTTGGGATTGTAGGATTGCTCTTCCATGCCGAATGATGAAGTCCTCTCAATCCGTCAACTTGCTTTTCACTCCGGCCTCCAGTGGCGCAGCAAGTCATCTCGTTGATTCCAGCAGCGCCGCACGAAGCTTTCGCCTGCGGAGCCCGAGTACCCCTGCGAGGTGCAGATCATTAAAAAATATCAACAAACAAAAAGCAAGTCTATCATATGAGGGAGCCCCTTCTGCCAAATTGTACAGCAACCTCTCTGGGAATCACCAAATCAGAATTCACTTCAAGAGGTTCTTGGGCAAACATCAACTTCGGTGCGCCCCTGGCTTTTGGGTTGTGTCATCACATTAGCAAGTCAACTACTGCGTGCGTGCACCCCATCCAACATGTCTCCTATGAAGATCTGTCTTTTGCAGAAGTCTTGGCTCCACAAGCCTGCGAAGACTCACTGGCCCGCAACGTTGGGGGAAGACTGAGGGTATATCAACTGACACAACGCTGACATACCACAAAGGGTGTACAAGTGCTGTAACCTCTCAGAATGGTCCATCGGTTGGAGGGGTCTTCCTTTTTTCCCAAATGCAACAAAAACACTGACAGAACATGGATGCTCAGTGTTCACGGTCCGTAAAAGAAATGCTTCAAATTGCATGTTTTACCGTGTCCTTGTACACCTCAACCAACTTCTTTTTAAAAACCAACCGCACCACAGGTTGCTGCCGCCGGTCTCCATGTCACTTGCCTTGCCACCACTCGCGCGAGTGTGGATCTCCCGCACTCCTCAGAGCTTTACAGCCCTCGGTGAGCAGCTGGGGCAACTTCTGGTGGAAGCCTGCACCGACCCGAAGGTTTTCGCACCTTTCACTGACCAGCCAAAAGCACCAGCAATTTTGAGGTTTTCAAGTGGACCTCCTCAAAATGGTGACTGCAGCCCACTTCAGTTCGGAGCGACGATGCAAAAGCACGCTGCTCCACGTGGCGCCCGACCCACCGAAAGACCCGGCCTCCGGCGCGCAGATCGAGGCCATAGGGCTCTTCCTGCACGCGGAGCTCCAGGGATGCCTGGCTGGAAACAGCTGCACCCCGCGGTTCGGAGAAGTCCCTGGAGCTGCCGCTGGAGCTGCCCTCGTCGAGGTGTTCTTCCCGTCGTGGACGTATCGATGGTAAAGGATACAAAGGACCTTGGACCGGCCTTTAAGGTGGAACAAAGGTCATTGACACCCAAACAATAGCAGTCCGCAGCTGACGCTGACTCACTGAATGGTCAGAAGGAAATCTTGAACCTTGAGGTTTTTCGTAGCCAGTGGCAAGTGGACCTATCTTAGCTTCGGATCTTTGGGTGAGACAAAGCGAGCTTCCACCCGCCAGGTGTCAATCCACTCGGTCCAGCCCCGGGTTTTGGACCTAACTTGCAGGTCACCTGTGATCATATACTCGATGCACTAGCCTGTAATTCGTTGATATCGTAGATATTCGATGATATTCGCAGTTATAGATATTGGTGGAATCAGGATCCTTAATGATCCTTTTTCCTTATCCTTATTCATATTCAGTACCTCTGTGTGTGATTGTGTGTGTGTGTGTCGGTCAAGTCCCGTGGAAAAAAAGAGCTTCTTCATCCTCCCGCGCATTCGCTCCCTCAGTTCGTCGCGTCCGCTCCCACGGTGGCCTGCTCGGCCAGGTAGACCGTCTCGTTCAGCACGTCGCTCAACACACGGACCAGCCTCGGACGGAGAGAGAGAGAGAGAGAGAGCCGCCGGCCACTCGGATGGCGCCAGAAAGCGTTGGAGCCCAGATTGAAAGCACGAAACCATAGGAAATGACCTCCCTAACTGAGGGCCTCCCTACCGGTTTGGGGTGTCCAATCAAACCCCTTGAGAGGTGATTCCGGGTGTCCCATTTTTCCGGTTTGTTTGTGGGTCCGTAGATGGGCGGTTCTTGAAAACCCATCCAAATTGACAAACCCGACATGATCGAACTGGTCGACGACCTGTGCGGTCGAAACGACTTGTGAGGACGCGCATCGCGTGTCATGTTGCATTACCCATGCTAGGGACTCATTTGACTTTGCCGCTGGACCATGTTCAAGACTTAACAACGCGTGCCGCAAGCAAGAAGAAGAAATAAGAAGAATCCTGTAGCAGTCGTCTGCCATAATAATTGGACCAAAACTGCTGCTGAAAAATAATCTGGATGTGTTGAACGTCCATCTGCCAAGAAACCAGGCCAGCAATGCCTGCTCCTTTGCCTCTGCCAAGCCCTCTGCAACTGAGAATTTCAGCCACAGCTCGCTTCGAGGAGTGCAGAGCACCTTGGAAGGCTGACAACAACAAATCACGGATTTGTGCAGAAGAGAAGAAGCTCCGCCACTTGATTGAAACAAGTTAGTCAAAATCCAGCAATAACAACGCAGGATTCTCCGCCGATTTCGCCGCACCCCATTGACTTAAGACACAAATACCCGGGAACCTGAAGGTCATGCCTCACATTAGAAGAACCAACGTTGCACCTTGAGGCATATCCGAAACATTCCGAAACCATGTCCAGGAGGACAACTGCTGGGCCCAACTGCTGGGCCCACATCCACCACCCCACAAGCCTTCTGTGAATCACCACCGGACCACCCGGACCGTCCTGAAGGAGTCCCAGCTGCCGTGTCCTGCAGGTGCCACGCCCAATGTCCGGGAGAGACCCGCTGCGGCCTCGCCGGCGGCGCGCGCGGAGGGCCCGCCGCCAGGCTCGAGAGCGCGCACGTGGAAAGCGCTGCACGAAGGCGTTGCAAGGCGGAAGCGCTTGTACCTGGGGCCACACGGAGGTGCCACCACGTGGAATACGGTGGGCCTCTGTCTAGGTGCAAAAGAAGTGCGTGGATGGTGGGTAAGACATGCATCACCACTCACAGCACTGCACAAAAGGTCTGGCCTCATGGGTTCGGATCTCAAGTAGGAAGAACATCGTGCAAACGAACTCAACACAACCAAGATGACTTTGACCTGGGAGGCATTACTAGAGAAGCTATACATCTGATTGACCTTGAAGCCAACTCGGGTAACTCGCCTTGACCACCAGCGGACAGCCATTCCTCCAAGCACGAGAACGAGGAATTCTGCGGCGCCGTCCGCAGCTCGAAGTCCGTGGCGAAGAAGGGATTCCGGTCCTGAGGGTCGCTCGGCCACGTGTGGGACTGGATGCGGCCGGCCCAAAAGACGGCCCAGTGCTACAACAAGTGTAGGAGTGGCTCAGTGGTGCCGCAAAGCATGGCTGTAAGTCTATGGGTCACTTTTGAGACCTCAACTCGCGGCCCCGGCATCGCAACCAGTCGGAGGAAGAGTCAGTCCGTTACAGATGTGCGGGGTCCAAGTGCCACGTTGGTCGGTTTTGAGGGTCCTTTGCGGCAATCCCGGTTCAGATGACTGGCTCGGCTCAGAAAACCATCGAAAACCGAGGTCAAAGCACTGCTATGACCCTGCCGTAGACCGAAAACAAACGGCACAAACTTCACAGTCCATTTCAGTCTCTGCCAACCGCACTCCACCAAACCATACGACTCTCGGAGACGCCCGCGGAGACGGGTTTCGCGGAGACACATAGGGGGGTTGGGCTTCTTGTTTGTTCGTTTTCTGGTTCTATCTGGATGTGTTTCGCGGTGTTTCGCGATGTGTATGTTACTTTTCTATACTTGTCTATCTGGACTCTAGACTTTAGACCTTGTCTTGGTTCATGTCCGGGAAAGCATGCCACTGAGGCTCATGGTGAGCTATCCAAACACGCCATCATCTCTTGGGTCAACCAGCACCGAAGAGCTTCACCCGGGTTTGGGGGGGTTCGAGCTCCAGAATTTCAGGATCTGAAATGGCCCAAGGTACAGGCAGGCGCAGATACCTCACCGCTTCTGCCTCAATGTGGATCAGGCTCGATTTTTTGAAGGATGAAGTCGAAGGGAGGATCAGCTCACGAACTCTTCTAGAACGGCAGGATTCCACCGCTTGCAGGTGTTTGCTACCCCAACAGCTGCTTTCATCGTTCGGCTTTCAAGAAATTCATGCCCACAACGGGCCCACTCCGTTTTGCCGCTGTTCGATCTGAGGCGCTGCCAGTCCCGCTCCGAGCTCAACTTGTTGACAACAGGCCACTAGTCTTTGGACCTCGCGAAACGGAAGCTCACACAGAGCTCCAGGATGGGGCAGCATCATCAAAACGTCTCTTTTCTGCGCAAGCTGAAAGAAGCTCACATTCCCCGGCCACCCTGAAAGCTGGCTGCCCAGTCTGGGCGTTCACCCCCCTGATCAGCCTTGCTCGTCAAGCTCATTACAGCCCAGCCACCACAAGAATGGGAGGGGATGGGATGGCGTAGCTGGATCTGGTGGATGGCTTTCTTTTGGATTCTGTGTGTCCTCAGTCTTCGTCTACCCTCGCTCCCACGGTCTTGTCTACCCAGTTTTCATCGGCTGAATATGGCCTCCGCTCCCGATCACATGACGCCAGTCGAATCGTAGTGATCCAAAGGAATTGTGTGGTCTTTCCGAAAGGTGCTGGCTCCTCATCCCCCCCGGGACCAGGGACCTATAGACCTATACACCTGGCTCTTCAGTCCACTCTACGAAGCTTCCACCGGTCGCGGGGCCTCGGCGTCGGAAGCTTTCCAGAACTCAGTGCCAAAGTGCGGTTCTCTGGACGGTGGCCCCGCAGCCTCCCGAACACGCGGTGTTCCGCGCGGCCCCATGGACTGCGCGCGGCCCGAAAAGTACCTACTTGAGTCTGTAGAGAAGGGCTATATGTAGTACCTAGTACCTCTGAAAGGTATGAGCACACTCTGTAGAGAAGTAGAGCACAGTAATTGCTAATGCTGCTAATACCTTCAGAGGTGCACAAGTTTCCCACAAAGAACAGCCGCAGTAAGCGACTAGACTCAGACCCGCGAGCGTCTCGAAGGGGCTCATCGGCTCGACCGCCGTCTGAAGGGGCCGAGACAACTTGAATCGGCACCTGCTTAGTTCGTTTTCAACTCAATTGAAACATATTGCAGTAGCCAGGACTGAACATACACATCTTTGACCCATGGTTGGATCATGCAGAGACTCGGAAAATGGCTCTCGAAAACCAACTCCATTCCTGCAGAATGGCAGGTCCTAGGAAATCCAGAAGACCAAAAGGGAAATGGTCCTATGATGTCCAACTGAGAAGTTTGAATCATTCCGAGAGTCAATACATCGGACATCATCGGACTCTTTCGGCTCATCATGCACAAGTCAAGCCTTTGAAGGTTCCTTTCCCCGAAATCGCAGTGGGCCAGGCCAGTCCCAAACAATCCCCGGTTCCACCCAACAGCAGCACGTCTTCTGGAAAAAAAAAGAAGCAAACGACGAACTGTCCCGGTGGCCCCAGATCACCTCCAGGTCGAAGTGTGGATCCCCCACCGCTCGCTCCGACTCCGCGGGCGCGGGGATGGGCGCGGAGTCGCCGGCTCCCCCGGGCTCCACGGGCGGATCGTGGGCCGCGGGCTCCTCCTGAGGCACGACGGTCCCCACCCCCCCGCACGCCCAACGGGTGCGTGAGTTGAGTCCAAGGGCCTCGAATGGCTTCTTCCCACCTTCGCCTCTCAGAGCTACGGCTACGATCAGGTGAGCCTCCTGGGAGCCTCCCGGCGACCTACATCGAAGCGTCGAACACATCACCGTACCGATGGTCGGAGGGTGAATCCGTGGATCGCTCTCCGACCATCGGTTGGACCGTCCCCAGTGTCGAGTCTTGGGCCGGTTCTCTCTGTCCCGACGGCGCGTGGTCCAGACGGCGCGTGGTCCAGACGGCGCGTGTCCAGACGGTCGGACCGGGTGTGCGTGGTCTTCTTATTTCTATTAGGACTGGAGGGAGGGGTGATGTACTATTCAGCCATGTGGTCAACTATTGCACCAGTGCGTGATGAGTTGTGCCCCCCTCGAAATGGTTCCAAGACCGAGTTCTTCCTCACCAGCTTGGCAGTGGATCCCCTGCAGGCCAGCCCAAAACAGGAACCCTGCTGTTGATGAAAGAACTCCTGGCACCCCCTGGCACCTCCCATTTGCTCGATCAATACCATGCTTTTCTCCACCCGGAGGGGGTCCGTGCGGGAGTTATCCATCCACAGCGCTGGCTTTGGGGGAACCATCCCACAACCTCTTGCCCAACATGTTTTGACCACAGGTGGGGGCTGCCTGACCTGATGTCCCCATGCACTGTGATTTTTTTCTGCAGCAAACCATTCGGCCCAGAGCTGTCCTCTCCTTCCTCCGCCTGCCATTCGCGTGAGCCGGGCAAGCAACCATGAAGTTCCTTCACATAAAGAAGAGTGCCAAACGATCGAAAAGGAACGAAGCAGCTGCTCCCGAAATCCTATGTTGTTCGGAGCCTCGGAAGACTCGGGTCCTTACAGCTTACCTAATCTTCGCTAGAGAAAGTTATACTTGCAGCAGAGTAATTAACACCAAAATGCTCTTGGCTCCAGCTCGGTCGTTTGACTTGTGTTTCCTCTTTTGGCCGCTTGTGGATATTCTGGGATTGGAAGCCTAACGACAATTCTTGGTGATGCTGCTCACTCCCTCCAAACGCCGAGACACCTGTCCCAAAAGCCACCGGTTTGACGGCTTGTCTTGGCGGAGGTTGAGTTTGAAGACTTTGAAGAGAGTATCATCTCTCACAGCTTTGATCTTTCAATTATTGTTCAAAGCAGGACATCTATCTCAATGGTCCCTCAACAGACTGATGCTGATACATAAGAGACTGAGATTGCAGGCAGTTGTCCGGCTGTACAAGCACACCCAGATTTCTCCTGGTCTATTCCCCACTGTCCAGTATGTCCAGTATGTCCAGTTCAAAGCAGTGAACAATCCACGCAACCAACCAACCAACCAACCAACCACAGGCTGGGCGACCTGTACGGCTGCGCCCGCATCGCGCGAACATCACGATCATGCGCCCGATGGCCTCCCTGGATAAGATATGATTGCTAAGTGCAAAAAAAACCTGTTCTGGCTCTTACTCTAGGACTTCCTGTAAAAAGATGACTATGACCATCTTTGCAAAAGTTGTCTACTAAGGATCTCTTGTAATACAGTACGTTGCTTCCATGACCATCTTTCTTGGGCCCATGGGTCGTCCTCATCTTCACCACCCCAAACCCCGAAGCCACCCGATCCACCATGATCCACCACACTGAAGCCTTGCCCCTGCCGCCCGAAGGGCGCCCACGCCCTTGGGGCCTCATCCTTCCCAAAGGCTGCCACCAAGATGACGAAGGCCCTCTCCATGCGGAGAAGCTCCAGGAACCTTGGAGAAAGAGAAGTAGAAGGCGGTGAAGACGGGGGGTCCAGGCTTGCCTGGACGATTTCAGGTGAAGGTCCGGTGGACGAAAAGGAAGGAACGAGATCTTCCATGGGGGGGAAGATGTTTGTGACTCATATCGTTGTTCACAAGGAAAGGTGAGTGCTGGAGTCATGACAACAAATTCATGTTGAGGTTCTGGACGGTCCCAGCTGGTCGCCCAGAACGATCGCCGCGATGAAAGAAACCAGAAGCATTCGACCTCCATCAGTCCATCTTCCGACTTCAGGCAATTTGGATCGATGTTTCGAACAGTTACCTCCAACAGACCTGCGGCTGCTTTGAGCTGAGGAAAGAAAAGAATCGAGTGACTCGGCAGCGAAGTAAACAGGACCAAACAATGTTCTCACACCAAACAGGACCTGCGGCTGCCTGCAGCCCTGAGGCTCGGTGATCTTGCCGGGCTCCCAGCTGTTCAGCATCCACTCGGCCTTCCTGGGCGTCCCCCGCCGGACCAAGCGGTGACGGCAGTCCGTGGTCGGTGGGCGACTTCTTCGGTGGAAAGGCGCGTTAGGTGGAACGGACGGCTCCTAAAACCAGCGCCAACCCCAAGCAGCGAGCTCGGTCTGAAAAAACGGATGTGAATTTCAACCAGGTTGCGAAGGTGGGTAGAAATGTAGATGAGACATGATGAGACATAATGTTGGAATGCGGGGAGCTCAGCATCAAATCCCCCTGGCCAAACCATGCCGTTGCCGTCCCAAGCGGGTGGAACAGAATAACAACGTCTCAGACCCCTTGATCCCATGTCTTCTCGCCGCTGGAATCAGCTGACACCTGACAACGTCATCCCAGGAGCAAGATGTGCTCTGGCTCGCGCTTGAGATCAGGCAGCATTTGACACCTCGAATGACTTGGGTGCCAAAGCGTGCAAATGAGTGATTTACCTCGGCACGTGTACAACAAGCGTACACATACACCGTTCTTCAGACCATTCTGGAAGCTCATCAGAACCCCTAATGGTCTTCCCCGCAGATGTCTTCCGCTCTCGGACGTCGGCCAAACAACCCTGTAGTCCAACCACCACCTTGAGCTCTCTGCACCCCAAAAGTCCGTCCAGAAGCTCTCCCGGTCCAACCAACGAAGTGACCCATGGAGACTCCAACGAAGAGACCGCCACCGGGCGACGCCAACTTCTGCACGTACTCCATGGGATCGGTCTCTTCCTCGGCGAAGGGACGGTGTCTGGAGACGACGAAGACAGGGAAGAGGGACTCCATTTGGAATGGAGGAGCAAATGTTATATATGTTAATAGATGCTCTGGGATGCAAAGAAAATGACACGTCATTTCATTGAAGCACACAGTAGAGAACCCAGGTATGTGGCTACATACCTGGAACTGATATGATACGTGTTTTGACAGAACAGAATGGTGTCTTAAGTGGATGATACGCAAAAATCTGGGTTTCAAAATAGTTCTAGGATGTTCGAGGTCTATATTATATAACAAATTATAGTATCATGTATATAGATGTATATATATATATAGCTGTTTTTTATTTGAACAACTCTGACTGTGGTGAAAAATCACCAACCAAAGATGTTCTGAACTCAGAACTACACAGGATCTGTCCATTCTGTAAGCTCCTTTCCAAAAGGGTGGCCCCAGCAAACTTGGCCCTCGCAAATGAAACGACTGCAGTGAGGGTCTTCAAGAGCCTTGGTGGTGCTCTTTGGATACGTGAGTCGATTCTCTCCGGTGCCTAGAAGAGGAACGGCCAGTGCCGTCATCTCGTCTGGAGGGAGGTATCAGCAATGAAGAAAGAATGTCCCAATGTTGACCTGCCTTGCCAATCAACAAAACATGCGCAACATCTTACTTCCAAAGAGCCTGCAAAATCCTAAAGCCCTGCTGACCGATTGCAATTGCTCCCAGCCCTCGCAAATAGCACATCATCAAAGCGTGTGCAAATATTGCTTTGAGCACCCAAACCGCACACAAGAAACCTGCTGGTGTTCAGGTATATAATCACCTCCACAAGCTCCCCTCAGCACCCAACCAGGAATCGCCAGGACATCTCCTGGCGAGACCAGGCAAGTGGCCCAACTCCACACGAGTTAGTCCCCAAACCATGAAAACGTTTTGCTCACATTTCTTCCATCCCACCTACACGTTAGTTCCCAACCGTCTTCTGCCTCTTCTCCGTCGTGGCCCCGCGACCCCCCGCCGGTACGTTCGGCGGTCCTGCGCGCGTCTCAGCTCCTCGTAGATCCACTCCTGAGGGCCTGCGGCCGCTTCGCAGGTGAGTCGACCACGTGTTCGGGTTGAAAACGACGTGTTGACATGGGTTGGGGTGTTCCATGGATGGTTCCTTTTGGAACCGCTTCATGTGCCAAAAAACAAACAGGGCACTGCAAATTCCCCAGAAATGGACCGTTGGGGGACCATGAAGCTTCGCAAGACTTTCTCCCGCCAAGCACCGCCTTCCCTCCGCCGTTTTGTCCTGGGCCTTCCCTCCGCAGCATGGCGAGATAAAGGAAGGTGATTTGGGCCACCTGGCGGTGGAGGAGCTGCGTCACGGACGACGGCATGGACGACCGCCACGGTCGTAGCTGTCGGAGTAGAAAATGGAAGAGAATCAGGTAGAAAGTCCCTTCTCACCTGTTCGTTTCCTGGATGCTCCATCATAAGGTCTTGAGAACCTGGAGACATGGTTCGGGTATACGGTACAATACTGTATATAGACAGTGCATCTTGTTTCACAAAGGAACAGTGAAAAGCTGCTTCGTGGTACCCCTACACCAAATGCAGCTCAAGTGATTTGCTCTTTGTATGCTTTGATGTTAGGGACATGATAAATCATCCTCGATAGCGCCATTGCTTCGAGTCAATTAAGCAATTCTTGCTTCCCAGTGTTTCTAATAAATCACTAACTCCTCACCCCAAAGTAGTTTATCAATGTTGATCATCCACCACAGTCCCATGGTTTGCGTCCCATTCCTGGAAAACTGGACGTATGTGTGACCTCCATCCATGCGGTCAAGCCCACATCCGTGAGGGTGATGTCGACGCTGAAGAGGCTGCACCTCAGTCATGCCGGACTTTGTCGAAAATTGGACCACTCAAGAAAAGGGTCCCTCTGCAACCATGGCTTCTGGGCAGACTGCCCCTGGCATATGAGGGACTTTCAAAACGAATATACACCAAAAAGATCGTATCTACTTAGGCTTCGTGTTTGATGTTCCCCCTTCGTTGACCAAGCATTGTCACGAGTCAGTGTATTATGCCCTAGATACCAAACCCATTTGTTCTTGTGTTTTGGCTTCGTTTGGGCCTTCGGTTAGACTTCGTTCCAAGTCACTCCAAATAAAAAACCCTCAAAACCCTGAAAATGAAAGAATCGAAGAGAGAGTCCCAGGAGGAGGTTTCGCTTTTGGTTTTCCAGGGTTGATTTGTGTACCATCCAAAAAGTCACCTGGCTACCCTACACAACTCCCACACCCCACTGATGGTAGACCGTCTGCTTTCACCATCTTTCACCAGTTCACGATGTTCGATCTTCACCCGCGAAGAGAGTCCAAGACCATGTTCAAAATGCTCTGACTCGGCGACACGACGTGAAGGAGCTTCCTTTAGACTTCCGTCGGTGAACAAAGCCTCTTTGATGTCCGGCATACAACCTGACCCGCTCCGCAACGTCAGGCTTCTTGCTCAGGTTAATCCGTCCACGTGAAGACCTCCGGACCATCCGCCGGGCCGAGGGGCATCCAGTTGCTGGTGAAGTCCTCCTCGCTGACGCCGGCCTCCACTTCCGTGGCCAGGCCTGGAGGGAATGAGTGCCGAGCAGGGGAGGTCATCTTCATCGGTTCAGCAGCGTTGCGTGCTGATAGGCCGGACCTGATGTGGCGCCTGCTGTTGGGTGAGGGTTCGTCCCCCCAAAAAACAGATCAGGTTTAGGGGATGTTAAGTCATGGCTTCTATGATGGTACAGGCTGAAAGGTTCTATTTTGGCTAACTTTTCTTTGGCCAGGTTTGATTCATCGTGCAGCTTGGGGGAAGTTCGAAATCCCCGAAGCTGCCGAGACCTCGATGGTTTTTGTGCATTGCTCCCCGAGGCCCTCCCACCTTGCTGCTTCAGGAAGGATTGCAATGAGCCAGCACCCTCGTGCCCCACCAAGTGCCCCAGGTAGTTCCTCAGTGCAGTGCGGTTTTGTCCTCAGCTCAGCCAACACGTCTGGGCCGCCCTTTTTTCCACTACTCCTCCCTTCTGAAATTCAGATCGTTTGGAGAGTGTGGAAGACGACAGCTTTTCCACGCTATTCCCATGGACCCACCCACATCGGCCCCATGGGCCCCATCGGCCCCATCGGCCACCGACTGGACCGACTGGACCACGACTCGCCAAGGCACAAGGGTTGTGACCGATAGTCCTGGGCGCCCAACGGTTGGACGCGAGGAAAAGGCAGAGATGTTGGACCCTCCAATGGGTTGATTCGGTTCATTTGCATTCTATTCCGTATCCATCACAAGCGTATTACGTATTTGAGGGCTTGTCAAAGCAGAAACAGATCACGAAGCAGCTAGCTATCCAACTTGGGAAAAAAGAGAACGCACGTTTGGTCCTGCTGCGTTGCTGGAAGCTGCCAAGTGAAGTGCAATTTCTGCAACTCCTCGAACAGCAACCCCATGTCATGCAGTTTCACACCCCAAGTGGTCTTTGGCTGAGGGGAAGCAAGTTGGGCTAGGCACCCCTAGGACCTAGGATGAACTCACTCCGACATCAACTTGCTGGAGGGGAGCAAGTACTTCACTGACAGGAAGAAAAGGGGACCCATTCTCGGCTTTCGGTGCATCAGTGTGCATCAGAAGCCAGGAAACCATGACGAAATCCAGGACTGTTGACCGTGTCGACATCCACAGAGACTCACAGTGCAATTGTCTGTTCAGGACTGAAACACATGGATGGTGAAATCTCGATTCTGGAACAAATCTCTCAAGGTACACGCACTCACTAGTAGTGGTGGCATGACAGCTACAGAAAGTCCCCTCCTGCACTGGTCGCATGCGGAGCAAGCTGGGCAAGATCGAATCCTGGAAGTTCCATCAGGCGCGAAAGGGGGAGCTTCAGCCACTCCACCAAGCCAACTCGCAGAAAAATCCACCAAAATCAACGGGCTATTTTTTGCGCATCAAATTTATCTTTTGCTGCTCTTGGCATGCCAGGCCAGGCATCTCTGTTCTTCTCAGGAGTTGATCCTTTTATGGACAAAAACCCGGAACCTTGCTTCCTTCTTACACTCCATGTATGGAATAGTTACCTATCCTACATTGGGGTCATAAATGGAGTATATAAATGTCCACAACTCTTCCATACATGGAGCGTCCGGGTTCAAAGGCTTCCTCCGCAGCGGGGGCCTCGAACGTCGGCATTCGCGTCGACCTTCGATGGAAGATCCTTCCCAAGCAAAGCTGGAACCCCTCGAATCTGGTTGATGAGGGTGGACGCGTCCAAATAAATCAGCGGGGACGTCAGAGTTGCAACAGTTCCTTCCTTCAAAGTGTGTCGTTCACTGGGTTCACTGTCTCAAGAAGCTTGCGTTCCGAAATCCGTGCGACCCCACCACTCCTCGAAGGGCCACACCGGTCTCGTGCGCGGCTGCGGCGCTTCCGGGCATCCGGTCAGCGCTTGGAAGGCGCTGGCGGCCTGCCTCAGCGCCCCAAACGAACGGAACAAAGTCTAAAACGCCCTGAAGCACCGGCGGAAACGGTGAGTTCGATCCACCACGGGCTCTCGGGACTCGAGGCGACAAGAATTTCCACATCTCGATTTGCTGGGGGGAGACCCCCGAGGCCACGGGACGCGACCATGTGGGGACCATGTGGGACAGTTCAGGACTTCTTTCATTACCTTCCGATCAATCAAAGAATTGGACAGCCCATTGTTGGTAGTTCATCATCTTCCTGGTGAGGCCACAAATCGCAAAGAAAGGGAAGGGCGTCCAAGCTGGTTTCGAGTGTTACCTTTGGGGGCAGAGGCTTTTTCTTGCCACAGATCCATAGCCTTCACCATAGAGACCCGACGTCTGGACACAGGTGCTCTTCCGGCCCCTCTTTTCCTCACTTTTGGTCTTCCAAGTCAAATATTCTATCTGTTTCATGTCACCTCCCAGCTATGCACTTGCTTCACACGCTTCACACATGTGGGCGCTGAATCAAAGACCCTTCTTTTGCAGTTGGCACAGATGGTGTTTCCCTTTTTGCTCACAAATGTGTCATTGCCATGCAGCGATACAATTAGCCAGCATGGATCTGCATCAGCCTGCTTCTTTGTCTCAAAGTGTTTTTTGCAGTTCCTGCAAGATACCTTGAAACGTCCCTCCTCTTTATTCAGCTTTCGATTGCGTTCTACCAGCGCAGATGCTGAGAAAAGGTTATCGAAATCTTCAGGTGATTGATCGCAAATCTCTTCAAGCAAGGCTAAACCGCAAAGGGGAGCAGCCTCGCGTGTGTGTTGTCGAAGCTGCGCCAACTCTTCGCCGGAGATCTTGTTGCACCTCGACCAATTGAAGAGCAGCCTCACGTGTGCTTCAGGTGGAAGAACGCAGTCATCCAGGAGCTGTAAGAACTCCTGAGATGAAAAGTCTGCTGCTTGCTCTGGAAGAGACTCAAGCAAGTCCATGCATCGAGTCGTTTTCCAAGCGGCAACAAATGTTTGCCGAAGCATGTCCAGAAAATCTGTGTGCATCTGTAAGTATTTTGCCTCGCGGATCATGCTGATGCAGTTGGAAGCATTGATTGCATCTTTTTGCTGAGTATACATCCATCGGAAGATAGGCTCCAAGCGACGGCTGCATATTTTGTCCGACGCTTTAACTGTATAGCCAGGAAGTCCTTCAGTATCATCCAGAAGAGATTTCAATAAATCGCTGGAGTCGGTGACAAAGCATTTGTGTAGAAAAAATACGCGGCCATCAGCGCAATGCAGCTCAATGTCTGAAGCAAATGGGTTTCCAAACCACTGGGCCGCATTTTCTCTGGTCATCTCGGCTGTCTTCAGTGGATGGTCATCTGGGAGATTTGGAAAGCACCTTCTTTCTTGGGTGCTCATGGACGAAACAGCCCAATGGATGCAAAGAGCAGTGCTTCTGTCTGAGCTGCAAACAGGCTGCAAGCCGCCAGGGTGTGTACCAAACCCGTGGAAGGGGAGATGAGAGAAAGATACGTTCCGCAACACTCACACACTTTCTTCCAGAAAGAAAGAGAAACAACAACTCTCCGACCTCAGCTAAAAGTGTTTGATTCTTCTACACCGACTTGCGATCCTGGTTTCAAGTGTGAAAAATAAAAACGACTATACAACCGTGGCCATCAAAAGTAGAGTCGACCCCATCATCAGGAGAAATCCCCAACTGCAACGCTGGATTCTTCCAACAGTAAAGCCACTGAAAAAGACTCTGGATTCCCCTTCCAAGTAACAGTATATAATGCCTATGGCCAAATAAGCATTACTTATATAAGCTTCACTGGGAAAAACATGGAAAAACTACTCCCGACATGGCCCAAGGCTTGGCCCAAGGGACTCCAAGGACTCCAAGCTTTCGACACCAAAGAGGCACACGCGAAGCTGTGCCGCCTGCGCTCGAGTCCACTCACAGGTGGGACAAACCACTGGGCGGATCGAGGGGATCTCTGCGAAAACGTGGATGGAGTGTTTGAGCTCAGGGGGATGGTGACCCATGCGGGGTGATGTCATGGTCTCAATGTTTCCAGGAAACAGAAGTGCGGGGCGAGCTCATGCGCGTCGTGGGCGGAGCTCCGGCCTGATAATGCTCTTGAAAGAAGCTCCGAAGCTCTTGGTGGATGTCCACCTGTTGCTTCCGGGGCTCCGCCTGCTGCGTGTGTCGACGTGCTGTGAGGGGTTGACTTAGAGCCCAGTCTGGGGTGTCGGTTTGGAAAGCCCCCAGGCGCACCCTGAGGCGGACGTTCATTGTGACAGGACGCTGGGAACGACAAAAGGATCTACCACGCGCGTGAGATCCACTGGTCTTTTAGCTGAGCTTCTTCGAGCTTCTTCGAATACAGGACTCCAGTGCTGCGCTCTTATATGTACATATTATGTACCAGCAAAACGGATGAAAGGGCAAGTTTAGTATCCGATATGCTTCATGGGAATCGGATCAAGTAGTCGGCTAGGCAACTTAGCGGTCAGCAAGTTCTTCAATATATGCCACCACTTGCTGCCAAGAGCCAACAATCTGGAAAAATATATGCCTTTGGTTTATGATAAAGGCAAAAAGATGCAAAAAGAAGTTTCTCAACATTCACTGAGCACTTCCAACAGTCGTAGGCCATCGTGCTTCACTAGCCAGCAGCTGGTGAAAAGTGCCCCACTCAAAGCAAAGGTTGCTGTCATCATCACCCAATGCTTGTCATACATCTTCGTGAGTTGTTTGGCCCTCTCGAGTCCTATTCCCCACGAAGTGCACAACACCACATCCACGGTCGTCAAAGCACAGGTCCACCCCAACTTCACCAGGATGCACACCACGGTGATGTTCATGTGCTCAGCTGTGGTACAATCGAAGAGGTAGTAGTACTGACGGTTCGGATTGCGGTCGTCCATCAGCCAAACAAGTGGAGGTAGTGCGACCAGCACGGGCCAGAAGCGCGCCACGTCGACTTCACACTGGGACCACAAGGCCTCACGGGTTTCCTGGCTGATGCCTTCTCCCTTGCTCCTGGCGGCCAAAAAGCAACATAAGAACGAGAACAACAGTCCGGATAACAAACCAACAAGCGACGAACACCAAGAGCTGAGCTTGACACCAAGGACGACAAACACAAGACGTCTCCTGTCTGAGACAACGCATTTCCACAGCACTCGCAATTGGAGAGCGGCCCCGATCGTGTCGACAATCACGACTCCCACAAGGGCCCACCAAGAGTTCGTACTGGGGAACAGGATCACCTGGCGAATCCAGCGCTGGGCTAGAACGTCCAGCGCTTGCAGTCTCAAGGTACATTCGTAGTCGCAAGTGTCGGAAAAGACGATCCTTTACTTTCACATCTGTGGTTCCATGTGGGTCACGTTTTAAAACCAACGAACAAAAAAACTAACAAACGGGCGGCCCGGTGCATGGCATGCATGGCATATGGTTTCAACATATTTTGATAACTCTCAGACGAAGCCCTCAGGGTCTTGTCTGTCACAAGACTTGGAGTGTTCGCTTCCGACGTCACATGCGCTTCGCTTCCCGCCTCGGAGAAGGTCAGCAAGCAGGAGAAGACCAAGGAGTTGCCCACCTGTCGGGCGTGGGCGCGTCCGCACATGTGTCGGAACGCGCGGGCGGTAGAGGGGTCTGAGAGTTGCCCACGGGTTGCCAGACGCCAACGCCAATGCTGTGAGTCAACGGATATTTTAGGAAAGAGAAAAGTGTTTCCAAGTCCCAAGGCATTCAAGAACCAAACCTGGTTAGCACCGAGAAGTGGCAGCAGCCCTCAAAGGACATACACCCCTTTCTCAGATATGTCCAGACCTACTGCACCATTTATTGCACCATCAAACTCAGTAAATCAAAATGGACCACCAATTTGTGGTTGTGGAAAGTTGGCGTTGGCCGTCAGACGCGAAGACAGCCTGGTAGTAGTGCTCGAGGCTGTAGCCTGCCCATGGAATCAGAATTTGCAGTACCTGGAAGCGAGGGATGGTGAGATATGGTGAGGATGGCCAATGTGAGACGTTCTGTTCTGTCCTGAATAAGTTCCGGGCCTTGTCCGAAATGATGCCCACCACTTCCATCAGGATCCATGATGCCAGCGCGGCGCAAAGAATCAGCACGGGGGTGTTGAAGAAGGCGCTGGCGAAGACAATGCCGCACAAGAGCAGCACGGGTGCCAGGGTGAGGAAGTTGTAGACAAAAATGAGTATAAGGGTCTTCACGTTCCAATAGCTTCGATCTGCTAAGACCAGGAACAGCCAGTCCACCATGGCAAAGGTTGGAGGGGCACCGTAAAGCATGTTGTAGGAGTAGATGAGGTTCGTTCCCCATGGCACGGCGCACAGGAAGTAGCCAGTGCACCAACCAAAGATCACCAAGAGGTAGAAGATCACCCTCTTGGCCGTGTCTTGCCAGGTGACTTTGCCAAGGTAACTGATCGCACTGGAAGACCGGGCCATCTCCTTCCCATTGGGTGGGCGCACCAAGAGGAGCTCCAAGCGTCGGTATTGGCCTAGCATGGGAGCACAGTGGAGCACAGTGGAACAGCTCCGTACTGTAGAGGACATGCCATCCGCTAAAGACCTTTGGAATAAAGGGTCACTGAAGTGTCCACTCACAAAAAGCAATGCCAACAAGTGACCGGGGAGGTAGTAGACGATCACGAAGATGTTATACCCATAAAAGAAGGACATGTTGCCAAGCGCTCCCGCATTGGGATCATTGATAGGGATCAGCAAGGGAAGGGGCACTGCGATGATTGAGAACACCAAAACGAAGAGGAACTGCACCATAAACTTCTGCTGCTGGGTGAGACACCCCCATTCAACCGCTGGTGCTGCCTCTTGGGCCATGCTCAATGCAGTCCTCATGAATGCAAGACATGGAGACATGCATCGCATCAGCTGAGTGTGTTCATACAAAGCACAAATTTGGCATGTGATGTTGGGCGGACTTTATCTCGTGTTGCAACGTATTATATTGTACTTATATAGGTTCTGGGGTATGCCTATTATTTGTGCGATATATTTAAAGGACATGATTCATTACAAGCGACATGAAAAAGCCTCTTCTTACTATTTATATATATATATATATTATATGCATGAAAGGTGATCTCGTTGCCTTCCATATCTTTCGGCAAGAAGTTCTGTTGCCGATGAACATACTGGAAGCTTTGTACTACTTACTCAGAGACTCTGTCGTTCAGCACCTTCCATTCGGAACCGAGCTGCTCACACTGGGCTTTCAACTGCTTGATCTCAACTGCCTGCAGTTCAATGGCCATCCCTTGCCTTCCCATCTCAGCATCTTGCTTCTCGAGCTGCGCTTTCATGGTGGACCTTGGGAACCAGAGTCAAACGACTGCAGTCTCGATTTCGTCTTGTTACTTCATGTTACTTCTGCCATTGACCCGAACGCGCTCGTTTTGTTGGAAGTCTGGTGGGACACAGCAGAAAATACTCGAGTTGACTTGTCTGCAGTCACAAGTGGCACTTGCTGAGTGAGCTCTTCAATCTTTACTTCACCTCCACAAGCAACTAAGCAACAGGCGCTGTTCGTGGCAAAACCAGACAGGTCGCTAACAAAACCAAGGTTACGGTCCCAAATGGAAGCTGTGATGGAAGCGCTGTCCGGATCGATCGCAAAACCCTCCCTCCGTCCTTCCGGCTCCAAGTTCACGTTGAAGGCCTCAACAGCCACCAGCTCCGCATCATCCGGTTGTGCACAGCATGCCATGTCTGTCTGTGCTGACTAAAAGTGCTCTTCCAGAGGTGCCACACGTGACAGTGAAGAGCCCTCCGCAAAGCCCTCTGCAGAGCGCTTGATTGGCAAAAAACTGCGAGACCATGCCAGCAGTCGTGTGAAACTACAGTGCTAGTCAAGGAATGAACCTCTAGTGAGGGCAGTTGAAGCCCCGCAAAATATCAGGTCCCACTCCTGCAGATACTATGCGGGCTAAGCCTTCGGTTGGCCAAGAAAATCTAGGATTCCCGTTTCGCAGCAACAGTCACACACTAAATAGTCAATTCCATCGAATCCGGCAGCCAAGAGTGGACCCACTCCCCCGTGCCTTTAGGCTTCGGAGATTGCCCCACCCAAAGCACTTGAAGGGCCAGCGGGCCTCACAACGGCAAGTGTCTCAGCTCCAGAATTCGGTCCAACTGGTCCTCACAGGCTGGGACCGCAATCTTCTCGCCGATGAAAGGAGGAAGAACTTCCTTTCAACCACCTTTTCAGACCTCAGCCATCCTCATACGCAGCCTCCCCTCTCATCCCAGACCGTCTTGGCCGCGCCACGAAGTGGCTCAGCAGCCCTTCCAAGCGCGAGTCGTCGTTGTTCTGCGTGAGCCGGAACTCCGACTCGATCGCCTCGATCGGCTCGGCGCGACTCGGACGCCGTCTTGGTCCGCCCCCGACCGGGTGACCGGTTCGGTCGGGCCGGTGCAGGATCGAAGAAGCCAATGCAACAGGTCTGTCGAGGTCAATTGGGGTGAAGAAAGGGAATGGACCAGCCCACCGATGTGGGCGTTCCTTTTCTTTGAGTGCATCACACCGTCAGGACAGATCGGTTTTCCATGCTGGAGAAATTCCACCAAAAAGAATAGTGCATCCATTGCCAACAGAAGTATAGGTGAGTGATGTCCAATTGAATACTCTCTACTCCGTCTGTGGTCCGTGTTTTTTCCTTTTTGAAAGGGCAGAGTCACCAGCGCGCTGTTTCAACCACACTGTTTCAACGCGCATCGGTGGACCTCCGGACAAATGACTCATTTGACCCCAACAGTCCCAGTCGTGGTGAATTGTGCCACTCGTGGGGTTCGTTTCAGTCCAGTTCCGGACGTTCAGGGCCGGGCCCAATTCGGGCCACCGCGCCACCGATGGCACTGAAGAGTCGCCTGCAGTTCCCTCTCCGCGGAGTCTGTTTTGAGGAGCGGGGCCACGAAGAACTGAGCCAGCCTGGGCTGTTTGAGGTGCCCTCAGGGTGAGAAACCACGGGACATGCTTGGGAGGGTCCCGGTTGTTTTGTGGTTGTTTTGAAAGATCGCCCCGCCCGAATCCAAGTGTCTCATGCATTCGATTGGCAAACATCTCGCTTAGGGAAAATTGTCAGGTATTCTATATTGATTGGAACTCTTTTATCAAATACACCCTCAAAGCAATTCATTGTCACTGGACGGGAGTTCTACAAGCGAGTAATTCTTATGGAATCTCTTTTCCGATGGCATTGTCCGTCAAAGTCAAAGTGCGAAAAACAGGTAGAAAGCACATAATGTTAACAACCAAAAAAACAAAAATATAGTAACAATAACAATACTGTCAAGATGTTGTTTGGCATTGTCTTCAATTCCTATAACAGGGGACTACACAGGTCTCTCAGGCGGCGGGGGGCCGTGTCCGGAGCAAACCTGGAAGTGGGAAACCGATAGAAACCCTCTTTGTACAGTAGAAACACATTTTCCGCCATATTAATATACATATCAATACATCTCAATGTCATTCAATGTCAATATTACCTATTTTCTGTAATGTCAATGTCAATGTCATTTCAATGTTAATATATACATAGTCGTCCCATTCTTTTCACAATGCCTTCGTGTGGGCTTTGCCGGGCCCGGAAGCCGTGCTTGAATTGGTGCGTGTGACAGAAGACGAGACCGCGCTCCCAGAAGACGTCGGCAAAACTTCAAGGGCGCCCCACCAGATCACTTGCCATCCATGTGTACCGGGCTCGGGCCGTGGAAACACCGACCTTCCGACCTTCCGAGGGGCAAGTCCACTGCCTGGTGAAGCGCGGACTTCTTGACCTCGAAGTAGTAGCAGGTATGGGTACCTTGGTGCCGAGGCCTTGGGGCCACCGGCGCCGAAAGCCAAAAGGCCGAACAAACGCAGGGTCCAACGTCTTCATGGTCCTCAGGGAACTGGGGATGTCATGTTACTAGTAGCGTTCTTGTTACTAGTAGTAAGGCCAGGAGCAACTAGTAGTAGTAGTAGTAGTAGTAGTAGTAGTAGTAGTAGCAACCCTTTGCTACTAGTAGCTTATTGTGGGGATGCAAATCTTGAAAATTGTGAATGATGAGAACGAACAGGTCCTTTTGCACCGGACAAAATTACCTGATAGCACTTGTGTGAGGAGATACTCCAGTGCATGTGTGGTCTTCCAGGATATTCTAAAATCTCCCAACAAGGATGCCAGAAGAGCATTCCTCCCTAAGTGGTTGATGTTGGGGAATCAGGTATAAGGTCCACCGCTTCGTGGCTTTGCTACCACGCCAACTTCCGGCGAATGGTCCCGCAATTGAAAAAAACCATTGGCGCTCGACTGATCTAGGATGTCTGTCATGGTGCAATCTGTGAAGGCATTGCTTGAGCCCCCATGTTTGGAGAGGAAGGCTTCCATCTCATCCTCACCTCAATCAGTGAGCGACGCGCGACCGGTGGAGAGATTGACTGCGGGGGAAAGGGGGGTGGTGCGATTGAGTGGATGATTGAGCTGCTGGGATTGAGGACTTTAGATGTTAGAGTGACTAACAAATGGAGGCTCTCAAAAAGTAGCTTTGGCTCTGTAAGAGCTGGCAATAGATTTGGGTGAGCGTCCCCTGGTCATTTCCCATGTCTAGGACTGGTAATGGACGATGAGACAATGACCAGCTCGCCCCAACGGGTGTTCACCCATTCTCCTTTTCCGAAATCGTGTGCACCTGGATACTTCTTGCTGCCCATGAAGAGCATGTGCTCCAGGTAATGCGCCAAGCCCTCCAGTGAAACGCCAACCCTCACGATCGACGCAAGATCCCCGACGGCGGGGGGAGTGGCTGCCGTCGTCAAGAGGCCATGAAGATCCGTTCCATGCGGAGCCTTCCACCGCTCTTGAGCGGCACTTCTCAAGCAGTTTGGTCTTTGGGCTGCTCTACGACTAGTTGATGTTCAAGAACTGCTGCTTTGCGTTGATTTGATGATTTGATCTTTGCTCACCTACCGTCAGGAGGCTCATACTGTAGTCCATCATCCCCACATCCATGCAATATGCTGGGGGGCTGGCAGATCCGGCCTGACAGCTGAATGGATCGTTGAAGGATCCGGCTTGCACCGCGCAGGCGCATGCCTCGGAGCATATCATGCTGCTCCAAGAGAATGATGGAAACTTCCAGAGCTGGTTCAAATGATCTTCCTCTACCAGGCGTGGTCTGTGAGTTTCTGAAAGGGCTGGTCAGTGCTGATCCAAATCCAGAGTGCTGGCCGATCCGCTCGAAGTGGGGGACCTTCGCCCTGCCCTTTTCCGTCGGGCCGACCGCAGCTTCGACCTCGCGGGCCTTCAGCCGTCCGTGGAACACCACTACCCCACCGCACGTGTCAACTCAGAAGCATAGAGGGGTGCAAAACAAAATCTTCAAAAAGTGCTCACTACCTTAAAACTCCCAAAAAGTGCCCAGACCCCTTCAAAGGCGCTCTTTGCAATCCATGTTTCATGGTTGTTGGATGTTGCCCAGTCGCGCCATGTTTCGTGGTGGCCTTCATAGCTCCCAAAACACATCAGTTGGATGTTCACTGTAACTCCCACGGTCTCAACCAACCAATATGTGCCGGCAACTCTCTGTGAAAACAAACCCAGCTGCGCTGCGACTCTTCTTCTGGTCATCACTGGAGACCTCGGGACAAAAGAAAGCACATGATGAACAATGAACATGCCCCACAAGCGAGTTTGTGCTGAGTTCGGGGCATCTGGGGCCCGCTTTTCGACCAGAGCAGTGGAGGACCAATGTTTCTCCATGTTAAAGCTGAACTGCGAAGCTTACAATAGGCATGTTCCAACTTGGAAAGACCGCTCCCAAAAGATGTGGAAAACTCTTCGGATGCCAGCACCATCATGCCATCCAACTGTCCAGTCAAATAGAAAAGAAACAGTGACACCTACAGATGTGAACTCAGCAACCCCCATGAAACCCGAAATGAAAGCTCTCAGCTGAGACCGGCAGCTGCCATAACTCTCCACATGATCAAACGATTGATTCTACGCTCGCTTTCGGCACTGTCAATGCTAACCTTGCTCCTGCTACAGCCTGCGGTGCAGAACGTTGCATAGTAGACTTTCTGACTTGCCCTCGGTATCAGGTTGCAGAATCCCACCGTTGAAGGCCGTGCATCGAGATGCACTCCACTCAAAACTTATCAAACAAATATGATAATCTGTTGACATCCCTACAAGCACAGGAATATAGACACTGCTTATAATTCAAAAAGGAGAGGTTCTTTTTCTGTAGTTCCCGCCCTCAAGGATCTGGCAAGGAGCACTTCTACTCCATTCTCAAAGGCCAACCTCATGGAATTCGATACGTCGATACACATGAGAAGTGTCTTCGACACACAGGACTCTGGTCACCTGAACTGAAATGAATGCAACAAACCAGCTTGTTTATAGACATGATAAGCTGCAAAGCTTGTTTTCAGTCCAAGCAGGTGCTAAATCGTTGAAAACCCAGCTGTGCTTGGACGAGGTGATTCTCCGGGGATCAGGGTTGACCCGCAGGTTTCATGTTTACTCGCCCCCGGAAGGACCCGATGACCAGAGCCGTTGGCCATCGAACACGGTCCGTTCGAAGCACCGTTCGAAGCACCCCGACGAACTGCTGTGGAGACCAAAACGACCGAGCAGAGCCTCACGTTCTCTCACACTTGACCCAGACATGTGTTCAGCTAGTCACTTGTAAGAATCTCATCCAAATCTGTAATCTCATGGGATCCTGAGAACCTGAGTCAGATGAAAACATCGAGGGAAAACGACTTCAAAGTCACACGAAGTCACACGGCCCTCCACAGACTATAGAATTGGACACAAAGTGCCAAATCCATCCGAATTCAGGCTTGCGCCGAGGGGCCAGCGGTAGGCAAACTGATCCTAGCTCGAGTCTGTCTGTCTCTCGCTGCGACACTTTGCTTGGCCGAAGGTGGTTGGGTCGCAGAAAGCCTCTGAACCCAACCGGGGCTCCCATCGATCGTGAAGGGTACCAAGTGGGAAGCTTCTGGCTGTCAATTAGAGAGCGTGAACAGCTTGTGTTCCACTGCGTTGCACTCCCTAAAACCCCACCTGTTGGTGATGTTGTTTCATGTGTCTCATTTCCTCTCTCTTTTTGGTCTGAATCCAAAGCAGACGGTCTCACGTTCATTCCGGTTCATTTTACATAGTCATACCGAGTCATACCCCGACTTTTCGTCAAGGGGGTGCGTCGGCGTGCAGGGGAAAGTGGTAATCCAAGGGGCCCTTTTCCACTTATATACATGATTATTTCAGGGACTGTAGAAACAATTCTTTGATGAACCGGCAGCGCCACAAAAAGACTTGAAGCAGGTTTCCACTATACAACCCGAACCTCCCAACAGGTCATCACTGCAGACCTTACCAAAACTTTAAAAAAAGAAACACCTCCAACCCAACAACCCTCCCTGCTCCAGAAACTCGAAAGAAACCTGAATAGCTGCGTCGACTGAGTGATGCGGTTTTTCTCGGATCCTCCATATCCCCACGTTTCACCTCTGTTCGCCTCTGCGAGTGGCGTTCGGAGACTTTTCGGGCACCGTCCGCCACGGGCCACGCGGGCGCTTGGCAGGAGGCCCGTCGGACGTCATGGCGTCGATACGGCATGAGTCAGACCCCCAGCACAACACCCAAGGAAAGACAAAGGAGGTACCAATTGAGACCTCTTAGAGCCCAACAACCCTCCTTTCAGGAGACCTGTTGGAGGGTGCTGGTGTGTGGAAGAAACTTTAGTCACAAAGCCAGATCTCCTTGCTCCGAAGTGACCCCCGAAAAGAAAATCAGCCGTCTCCGAGAATGAAGCGAGGGCAACCACATCCCGCTGGCTAGAGTATCTGGCCGCGAAAGAGAAGGCAGTACAATCTTGAAATGTCCCCTGTTCACGCGCATCAACAGCCCTGCAACCTCACCGCAAGCAAACTTTACAACAGGCATGTGTCTATGTGAGTCTCATCTACCAACATCAACCCTTTCTCCGGACTGGGTTTGGGAACACTTCTGGTTTGAGTCGGGCGAGAAAAAGTCTCATGTAGAGGCACGTCGCTCTGGGCCAAAAAGGCATCTTGGGATGACATGGGGTCAGTTCAGCGGATCAAAAGAATTCAACCTGGGACCTGATGACTTGTAGATCACCTCGAACAGCCTAGCACCTACCTGAAGACAGCGCTCCTCGCTCCTCTGCACTTGGGAAGTAAATCTATCTGTGCATTCTCAAAAGAAAGAATGAAGTACAGTAATTACATGTAATTACCGTTGTTTCATCTTGAGATTGCAACTTCAGATATGCCGCGAAAACGGGTTCCAACACATCTGGTTTACATTGACCATCACTTTCGCTGCACACACACCCTTCGCACCTTGGGAAAGGGCTCGCCCCTCCCTTGCGATCGCACGACTCACCCGCTTGCGATGGCGGCCTCAACCAGGATGATGCGGCTGCGATGTTGTTGCCCTCCGCCACAGGGCAACGAACAGCCCTGCCGGCGGGCCAATTGACTGCCCTAGCCTAGGAAAGGGCGGTTTTGCTGCTTTGCCTTGGTGTCTCATACAAGGAACCAGAAAAACATCCGGAACCTCTGGTCACCTGTCTATTTGCTGTGGAGTTGCAGGAGGCCATTGATACCTTTTGGTGCAAAGAACAGCTTTGCCTTCGCAAATCGAAGTTGTCTTTCCTTCGTTGGGCCCTTCGTTTGTGCAGGGCTTTCTGTAGGATCTTACAAGTTCGGCGTCAAAGAATCTGCTAATGCTCCCTTCCTTGTTGTGAGCTCACCAAGTGTTACATCAAAACAAGGTTTATATACCCTCGCAATCTGCTCATGATAGTGCGCCCTGTAAAGCCCTTGAGCTCCCCAAACCCGCCGATCTGCCTGCCAGTCGTTCCACATGCTGAACTCGCAATCGCGAATCGTGGAGGGGCAAGCCTGTGTCAGATTGCTGCCGACCCAAAAATTACCCTCACACCGCTCTGAACGCTTACACAGCGGCTAATCGGTCCTCAAAGGGGCCTTACCCACAAGTTTATGCAACAGATCTTCACGGCAAGCAAAACCGTGTGCTGCAACCCGAGTGCACCCGCGGAGACATCCTTTGTTTTTTGGTCAACCGGGCATCAAAAGGCCGACAGCTCCTCAGCTCAAACCGGAGGTGCAAGCTGCGACTCCCGAGAAACCTCTGTGTTGCACTCTGAAATCATCATGGTGATGTTCTTCTCGCAGCGTTTCCCTGGCTAAAGATTGGTCAAAGACAGCCCGAGTCGAGAAAATCAGAGAAATGAGAACAAACGGAAGAACCCCACCAGTAAAAAGAGCGCGATTATTGATGACAAGGCAGAAGCGCAAGAAACAGCTGAGCTTAGGTGAAACAGCCATTTTAGGGGGAGGACAAAACTTGAAACAAACTTCCCCCCACCAACCAACGGGTGAAACAGCCCGGCTTCGCCTCCGTGCCGTGGCAGTCGCACCACCTCCCGGCTGCGGCTGGCCATACCACCCCCGCAGCTGGCGGTGCACGCGGAGAGCCTGGACCGGCGGATGGGTCGTTGAGACGTCGAAGTCCCACCCTACAGTAGTTAGGCCGACCGACAGTAGTTAGGAGGTTCCTTTGCGGGTCACTTGTAAAGTGACTCCCAGGGTTAAGACTGTTTTGGTAAAAGGAAACAGTGATGTCCATAGTTGCGTGGGATGCTTTAAGAATTCCCAGCCTGTCCCAAAGGTTCGAGGAAGGATACTGTATTGTGAAAGACTAATATGTAACTGGGATGCACTTACTGTTTGTTGATCTATTCACGCTGTGAAGTCTCTAGAAACCAGAGGACCTAGGAAATCACGAGGATGCTAGCATGTGATCCATTTATATAAATGTTAGGTCCTAATTAGGTATACGTTTGGCGTAGCAGGCGTAGTACCCTTGTCTCCCTTGAATAACCAAACGATGTTTACCGTCAACACCAGCTCCTCCATGTCTTCGATGTGACGAACCAGGAAGTTTGCGCTCTCTGCTATTTAATGATGAGTGGCTGCAAACTAAAGCAGTCATCAAATACTATATATATATGTTTTAAAAAAAGAAACTGGTTACACCATGTTACACCCAAACGCGACGATTTCCTCCCAAAAAGTGCGAAATGCCTAAAATCGATTTCAGCCGTTCGAACATCGAAAGACTGCCGCTCTGAGCACGCAGCTGGCTCCAATCGCCCCATTTGCAATCCACTTTCACGGGACACCGCTCCAGCGCGCAGGGCCTCCGACGACCATTTTTCACGAAAACTTGGAGAGGTCCCAAATTCGCTGGAAGGCAACAGGGTGCTTTGTTAATCTTTGTTCCTGTGTCTGGAGGCCTCTTTGGTAGGTTTGTGGGAAATCAAAGCTGGAGCATGCTCCTTTCTCTGCTTGAGACGGACCAGCTCCAGCAAGAGGCTCCCCACGACCAAGGACATGCTGCAAACCAAATGCTCCACTCTCTACCCCAGAGAGTCCAGTGACTGGACTCTTTTCAGCTCTTTTCACTCCGAACGGGTAGTGGTGGATGAAACACCAACAGGGGTCGCGTAGTTCATGAGTCAAAACGCTTCACCGAGTTGTGAACCCGCTGCATGCACCAGCTAAGACACCCGGCTGAAGTTCGAAAGCTCCTCCAACACAAGGCTTGCCACCACCCTGGAGACGTCGAATTTGGATGTATTTGTTCCGACTCGTCGGAGGAAGACCCTGTTCTTCCTCTTCTGCGGAAGGCGAACAAAATCATGCCGTCCGTTGCACTGACGACATGTCATTCCACAGCCACATCTTTTGGGGAGCATGAGCATTGTTGGGGCCGCCAGCTGGGCCAGCTGCGCCTGCTCAAACTGCAGGACCACCCGATATCTCACTTGCCCTCGCTCCTGCGAAAAGGCTCGATACGGAATGCCCACCGGGTGGGAACTGAGTGGGCTTCCTATACCTTCCAGCAAGCTCCCGTATAGGTCAGGGGAAGCTTGCAGGAGTCTCTTCGAACTCTTGAGGTTTCGTTGACTTCCCTTGTAGACCTTCTGGCCACAGACCCTTCTGAAGGATCCCTTCTGACGAGGACAGCGGCGAACAGGTGACTTGTCTTGGGACGTTCCTGGGTGAATCTTGGGTGAATCCAGGTGAATCAGAGAACCCTCCCCCGATGGGAATCCTGAAGTTGCACTCGAAGGGCAGCGGGTTCCGGGAAGGTCGGAAGGTTAGAAGGGAACATTTGCAAAAACAATTCCACCCCATGATGAGCTGAACCCTCTCTGCACGCACCTCCTAGAGAACTCACTTGCACCAAAATCTGATGGATTGTCACTTCCACAAAACCACAAGGCCTCCCCTCTCTGGTGTCCCTCTTCGAAACTCCTTGTCGTAGCCTCCACCGCAGGTGACTGGACAAGCGGACCTCGGCTTGGGTCCACTTGCAGCAGTTTGCATCATGGAACACCGCGTGAAAAGAAAAAAGAAAGAAAAGCCACAAAGAAAGAGGTACAGGACACCTTTGGCCGGCTTGAAGTCCTTCCAAGTTGAACATCGGATCTGTGGGTGTCCTTTTTCGGTGCTTCCATGTGTGCTTTTTCACTGTGAGACCAGTGGTGCTGTCGACCTGTTTTCCCCCAAGCCCTGCTCGGATTGGATCCGCCAGGTGGCCAAGAAGTCCAATCACCAAAACGGCAGTCGCGCTTGGGCCTGGGGAGCCAGCCCAGCCGGAACAGATCAGCGTGGGGGGAGAAGGCGTGTTCCTTCAGCAACAGCTGTTGTTCAGCCCTCCTGAAAGATTTGGGATGAGCCAACCCTCTTTCAACACTGGGGTCTGGTAGAAGGTGGAGGCCATTGCTATTAGGTTAGGCCATTGCTTATAGGAGCAAGGACGCTACTAGGGGCTCCTGGCCTTACTACTAGGAGCAAGAAGCTACTAGGAGCAAAGGGCATCGCTACTAGGAGCAAGGACGCTACTAGGTTGGAGACCATTGCTTCGAACGGTCCTTCTTTTCTGTCGTCCCGAGGCTCCGAGCAGGGCGCCGCACTCGGAGCGGCAGGGCTCCGCCTGACCGGGCAGGGCTCCGAGCCGGGGCATCGCTCAGTGGGATTGGACCTTTATATTGGATAGAACAAACCATCAGCGGCTTAGCACGACGTGGTTTGGATGAAAGCAGGGAGCTTGTTCGCGTTGGGGGCGATGCGAACACGGACAGCTCCGCAGCTCCGCAACTGTGAGATCTTCAGACCCCCCACCTTGCCAAAGAACACCAACGATCTACTATACGTACAATTAGGCATATGTACATACTGTGTATATATATATATACACTATATCTATTCGATAGAATATAAGAAATCCACTTAACAAAGAAAAAACTCCACAGCCTTCCCCGCCTCCACTTCTGGTCCCTCGCACGGCTGGCCACCCGCGATCGCGGCCGCCGCCACGCGCCGGTGCCGCTCCTGGCCCGGGCACGGCCCAAACGGCTTGTCGTGTGAAGTTCATCCAACGGAACGGAATGTCGTGCGACGTGATGTCATTTGCGGAGATGTCATTGTCCTCATGTCTCCTCATGTCCTCATGTTCTCGGTTCAGGTTGGCCCCCCTTCGATCTGGCGTTCTGGGACCCTTCATCCCTGCCCGAAGGCCCGAAGGGAATCTCAAGTTCGATCAGATTTTTTGCTGGCAGTCTCTCACCTCTGATAGAGAAGAACGTCAGAACATCATAGACGTCAGACTGTCAACTTCAACAATCAAATAAGTTTCTCATAGTTTGGGCTTGTATTGTGTCTTCTTCTCTCTCTCTAACTCTCTCTCTCTCTCTCCCCTCTACTTGAGGATTGACGATAAATGACCAGAAATGAGGAAGTTGTACCAAGCTTCACGGATACATGCGAGGACGTTTGTTTCATCAATTACCCGTTCGCTTCCTTGTCCACCCTTGGCTTTGGTGACCAACTACGTGGCCCATCCCATTTCCAGAGGACCAGTGCCCATGGCATTCGGTCTCCCCACGTGCATCCCACTGCAGGGACACGCCGACCACTCTTCCCAAGCAGCCCACCTGTGACCGTCGGCCGATGGATGACCCCGGAAGGACGACCCAGGTCGTGCCGTATGGCCCAAACGGGTCGTTGGAAGCCGTTGGGGCAGACGGTCTCAGCAGGGGCGGGCGGCCGAAGCCATCAGCTGATCCGACTCCCCAATTCCACCAATGAGCACCAGCTTCATGCGAGCCCAGCATGACCATTCATGTCGGGCCCAAAAATTTTCCCAAGCTGACATGGCCATCTACTGAATCCCTAGAAGTCTAAAGACTATAATGTGTACCACCGAAGTGAAAGAAACTCCTCTTCAGGTCACCTAAAGACCAGTTTCTAAAAAGTCTTGGACTCGCAGGGAAATGAATTGGAAGACCACGTTCCTCGCTAGTGGGGTGCGACAGTCGTTTGGAGGCTTAGTCCCTGGAGTAACCACCTGGTACGAACTGTCGGACAAGACCTTGCCGAGCCATGTCAGTTGAGTCGTCCGGTCCGATCAAGCCATGGTGCACACAGTCCAAGGGCTTCTTATGAGAACACTCATCCTGCAGAGGCCGTTGATTTGGCAGAAGTCGAACTGGCATCAGCGGTCCTCTTTTTCGCTCTCAAAAGTGGAGGGCTGTGTAAGCATCTGCCTCTTTGCTCGGTGAAATGCATTGTCTATCATTGTCTTGTATGTTGCGGGTCATATCTCTTAGCCACTGGATAGTTTGGAGGATATCTTGAGCATGCAAGCGCCCACGTGCTCGATATTGATCTATGAAAGAATCCATTTGATAAAGGGATATAAAAGGGCGACTGCTTTGGGCAATAGGTGTCTTAAGCGGCGTGATTTGGATACGGGTGACCCTGACCAGGGACCCGTTGTCAACACAAGTTCTAAAACGGACACCTACTGGAAGCAACGAATGGTTTGGAATGTGCGGAATGTGCTGGAAATCCCCCATCAAACCCATGGGCACTGAAGTTGGCAGCAATCAAATCATCCCCCTTCCATGCCAGCTTTATCTTCCCCCACAACCAGTGCTCTTCACCACCACCCCGTTGCCGTAGTGCTCCTCGGCACAGCTCTCCAACTCTTCCTGAAATTCTTTGCAGTCCGCCGCCGTCAGCTTGTCAGCTTCCAGCCTGGTCAGGCCGTCGGAAGTTCGGCACAACCGACACCCGGACCCCCTCAAGCTGGGCGGGCACCAAAAAGAAATCGCGCGGAAGGCGTTGGTGCAAAAGCTTGGAGAACCTCTTTCTTCTTCATCCCCACCAACCAATGGGTCAGCATATCATGATTCCTGCTTCATCTCCCTCCCACCCATTTCCAGCCTTCGAGCGTTGGACCCTTGTCCTGGAGAAGGGCCGAGCGGGCCATGCAACCTAATACCGATGACCTCCAACCTACATAACCTACTAGCGATGAGCAATGGCCTCCAACCTAATACCGATGACCTCCAACCTACTACCAATGGCCTCCAACCTAATACCGATGACCTCC